CATGAGGGTTCTGTTTCTCCACATTCTGGCCAGTACCTGTTATTGTCGGTCTTTTTTTTACAACCATTCTGATAGATGTGTAGTGTAACCTCACTGTGGTGTTAATTTGCATCTCTCCAGTGACTTATGAAGTTGAGCACGTTTTCATATGATTATTAGTCATTCGTGTATCTTCTTTTGTCAAATGGCTATTCATATATTTTGCCCTAGTTTTAATTTGATAATTCATCTTTTTACTGAGTTACAAGATTTTATATATTCTGGACACAGGTTTTTTTATTCATATATATGATATCCAAAGATTTCTTCCCATTGTATGGCTTGTCTGTTTGTTTTCTTAATGGTGTCTGTTGAAGAGCAAACATTCTTGATGAATTTTTTTTTTTTTTTTTTTCTTTTTCGCGGTACGCGGGCCTCTCACTGTTGTGACCTCTTCCGTTGCGGAGCACAGGCTCAGCGGCCATGGCTCACGGGCCCAGCCACTCCGCGGTATGTGGGATCTTCCCGGACCGGGGCACGAACCTATGTCCCCTGCATCGGCAAGCAAACTCTCAACCACTGTGCCACCAGGGAAGTCCCTCTTGATGAATTTTTATCTTTTTTTTTTTTCTTGTATGGATTCTGCTTTTGAATCCAGGGTCACATAGATTTTCTCTTCTTGAATGTGTTCTGCAGACCATATCTGGCCCACAACTTGTTATTGTAATGTTTTATCGGAACATAGTCACACCCATTCATTTACCTAATGACTATGGCTGCTTTCTCTTTACAGTGACAGTTGAGTAGTTTCTACAGGTATTGTATGGCCCAGAAAACCTACAGTATGGCCCATTTCAAAAGATGTTTGCTGAACCCAGTTCTAGATGTGTTACGGTTTTAGATTATAGTTCTGGCTATACCAGTTTGTGTATGGTATGAGGTAAAGGTCTGAGTTCACTTTTTTCCTATGGATACGCAATTATCCCAGTACCATTTGTTGAAAAGTCTATCCTGTAAGTAATGAGTCATTTTCTTTTTGCTGCTTTCAAGATTTTCTCTTTGTCTTTGATTTTCATCAGTTTCATTATGGTGTACCTAGGTTGGGAATCTCTTTATACTTACCTACTTTGGGTTGTTTAGTTTTTTTTGATCTGAAGATTAATGTTTTTCATGAAATTTGGAAAGTTTTCAGCCATTATTTTTTTCTAATACTTTTACTGTAACTTTTCTGGGATTCCCATTGTGTGCATCCTCGTATGTTTGATATTGTATATATCAAGCATAGTTTCCTTTATTTCTTTGAACATATTTTTAATAACTTTTAAAATCTTTGTCTGCTAAATCTAATATCTGGTCCCATTTGGATACAGCTTCTACTTCCACTCCCACCCCCACCCTACGCCCAAGAGTGGGTCACAGGTTCCTTTTTCTTTGGCTCACAATTTTTTTCTTGAAACTGGACTTTTTACATTCTGGGTTGGCCAAAAAGTTTGTTTGTGTTTTTCCATAAGATCTTACAGAAAAACCGGAACGAACCTTTTAGCCAACCCAATAGTATATTATAGCAACTTTATTCTTTTTTTTTAAACTTTTTATTTTATATTATAGTCAGTTAACAATGTTGTGATAGTTTCAGGTGTACAGCAGAGTGATTCAGTTATACATATACATGTATCTATTCTTTTTCAAATACTTTTCCCATTTAGGTTGTTACATAATATTGAGCAGAGTTCCCTGTGCTATACAGTAGGTCCTTGTTGGTTATCCATTTTAAATATAGCAGTGTGTAGTGTCAGTCCCAAACTCCCTAGCTATCCCTCCCCTCTGCCCTTCCCCCCTGGTAATCATAAGTTTGTTCTCTAAGTCTGTGAGTCTGTTTCTGTTTTGTAAATAAGTTCATTTGTACCTTTTTTTTTTTTTTTTTTGCTGTACGAGGGCCTCTCACTGTTGTGGCCTCTCCCGTTGCGGAGCACAGGCTCCGGATGCACAGGCTCAGCGGCCATGGCTCATGGGCCCAGCCGCTCCGCGGCATGTGGGATCTTCCCGGACCAGGGCACGAACCCGTGTCCCCTGCATTGGCAGGCGGACTCTCAACCACTGCGCCACCAGGGAAGCCCCCGTTAATTTTTTTAAAAGTAACTTTCGTGGACTCTGTGTGGAATTTGTCTCTCTCACAGTATTTGGCTACTGATGTATCTCCTTAGCTTTTAAAAAATTCTTATTTATATTTTTTACCCTGGCTTTCTAGAGTTCACCCCTGTATCTGCACTGCTTAGTGCTTAGCTACTGTTTGTTTGGAGGTTGTGCTTAAACATGTTGAACCTGTATACCTTTCACCCTCTGCTGCTGGATTGTGTATGTTTTGGGGAGCACATATGAAATTTTCAAGTTTGCCTCCTTTGCTTTCTGTTGGATCTTCTCTGGTCTCCCTGTGCGTGTGTGGAGGTTTCCAGTCAGCCAGGGATGTGTAAGAGCTTGGTGTCTCTCAGGTCTCCACTTACCCTTGTGCTTGCTCTCATCCTCCCAATTACCTGGCATTTGGCGAGAGCTTAGGGCCTTATGGACCTCCCCTGTACACATGTGCTGCCTCCTGTTCAGCCAGGTCACCATCAGGGCATCTCTTCAGAATATATGAATTTATTCAGTCCCTATATGGGTCTCTCCTTTCCCAGACCTCCCTGTTAGATTTCTAGGTAGTCCTCAGGTTTGTGGCTTGCCTCAAATGATACAGTAATTTCAGGCAACAAAAGCTGCAGGATTTTCTGTTTCCTGCTGGGTGTGGGTATTCTGCTCTCTACTCCAAATCAAAGTCAGCTTCCTTCAGCGGTGAAGCTGCTGGTTTTCACAGGCAATCTCACCTTGCTTTCACCATAATGTTGGTGGAGCAGGGAAGGGAGATAGAGTCAGTTCCTGGTAAGATGCCAGACTTCCACTGTTCTTCCCAAGAAATCAGTTGACTTTTCATGAATAAACTCTTCTCATTGTGTTTTTCGCCCTTGGTTGATTTCCAAAGCACAAAATGGTTGGTTTTTTTGACAGCTTTATCCAGTTTTTATAATTGTTATTTGAGGGCGAGATTTTATACTCCTTCACTAGGGAAGTCCAACTTCACAACTTGGATTCTAAAACCTAGGAATATTACATTTCAAAGCCAAATGCTCTTTTCTCTAAGTCATGCTTTGTGGGGATAGAGAACAACAAGCAATTTTTTAAAAAGAGAAATAACAAAGAGGTGGATGGATGAATCTTGATTCAGAGCTTAGATTTCTAAGTAGTATTAGACTTTTACCTCTGTGTAGATAGTTCAGACAGGTTAATTGAATAGTTTGGTGGCTGTTATGGAGAAGGAGACGTGTTTGCTCAGAGTGAAGCAACTATTGTTGACAAAGTACTTTTCTTGTAGTATTCCTTACTTCATAACAGTTTTATGAAAAGGGTATTGTAATTATGATCATTTTACAAATAATATAAATTTTTAGGTTGGTAACTTACCTATGCTCTCAACATTTATTTGTATGTGATAGAGATAGTACTTGAGTCCATTTCTTCTGACTTCTTGTTTTTTATACTCTATATAACTGCTTCCCTACTATGTCATAATTACTTGCAGACTCTTTAATGATCTTAGTGTATTTATTTATGTAGGTAGTACTTGAAGTTAGAACAATTCATAACAATCTTCTTGAATTTTTACTAGCGCTCAAATTCTTTTCTTTCATATGATAATCACTCTTAACTTACTGAAGAGCCCCTATTCGTTCATGCAGTTGTTAAGCAAAGTGGTAAGAATCAGAGAAAGAGATATCCCATGGCAGCTTCCTCTGCCAGCTTCCTCTTTTTTTCTTACTCCATAGATGCAGATTCTGCCCAAGAAGCCCCTGCATTGCAGAGGGATTGGAGATCTGTATGATCTGTTTATTTCGCAATTGACAAGGGTAAGGGGGCCTTTTTGGGGGAGGCGCTTGGGTGCCCTGAATTTAGCTTTATGAAGCTGAGCTAACATTTATTTTGGTAATACTTAAACCTAGTGTTTTTACAGACCCTTTTATGAATTCTGTTTGTCCAACATCAATTAAGTGCCGGATTATATTAAAAAGCATTTATTACAATGATTTTTTTAAAAGTCCTGTTTAGAACAAGTCAGACAAACATGATTCATGCTTCTAAAATTCCAAATCTGGGATCCTTTAGAATATAAATAATATTGAATATATGTAAACAAAATTTCACGACAATGAAAAATTTAAAAGGTCTGTTCTGTAGCCCGTCACAGTTATTCTTAATTAATCTGCTCTGTTCCTTTTCCATAAATCTTTCAATCTATAGAGTGAAAAAGGGACTTGTGGATATGCCATAAACATTGTGGATGGGCGTGGCGTCTTTTTCTTGTTGCTAGAAATTAATATCTATTTCCTTGAATTCTATGTCCACCCTAGATGCCAGTGAAATTTGAGTTGTATCTTCAGACTGTCCTGTATCTGTTTATTAGTATAGGAGTAAGGTGCATTTGGTGAATCTTATGGGAGCCAAGATAAGTTTTGTAGGTCTCACTTGGCAGGTTTATAGAACAAGTGCCAGAAATGGTGGTATTTATAATCGGATAGAATTAAAATAAGTGAGGAAGAATTTAATACTCTTTTAAAATTACAGAAGCATTGGGCAGAGATGACTGTAGTTTTTATGGGTAGTTGAGAAGACTTGACTTGGTGATGGTTTGATGGGCTTCTTTTTACATTCGAAGATATTATTAGTAGTAAAATAGCTTTGTTTACCTAAAGAAGTATTGTACATTTCTGTAATTTAAATAGATATTTTTAGTATTCTGTACCTCATATTTTTAAATGGTTTTCTTTAAACATTAATTTATAGATTTTAAGAATTCAGCAATATTATGTATATTATCCATTCCACTATTAATAAATGTTCCACTTTTTAGTGCCAACACATTGGAAAACTATTTTTATTCTTATATTTCTTAAATGACTTTTTTTTTTTTTTTTCTGTTTTCTGTTTTCTTTAAGCCATAAGGATGAGTTTACCATTATTCCTGTATTGGTTGGAGCTCTGAGTGAGTCAAAAGAACAGGAATTCGGAAAACTCTTCAGTAAATATCTAGCGGATCCTAGTAATCTCTTTGTGGTTTCTTCTGATTTCTGCCATTGGGGTAAGTTCTAGATTTTAACATTTCATGGTAGATATAATGTACTTGTGGTTAAAGGTATCTTTTCATTCTAAGCTCTGATTTTCAGTTCTTTATCACTTTCCGTGGAAAGTTTTACTTTTAGCAACAGTGTTTAAAGGTGAATAAAAAAGTCTTTTGGTCATTTAAAAAGGATGAGATTGTAGTAGGGGATTATGGGTACATTTCCAAAGGCGACTGGTATAATTGGATTCACACTGTGAGGGCATCCTTGCTTAGACACTTAGGTTAGTGGGAGTTAAGATTTTTTAACCCCATTTCCAGGTAGAGTTGTGTGATAGATTCTCTGAAGTTAAATTTTTGGTAGATAAAACAAATGTTCTTTAGACCGTAGAAGAGCACTGTGTGCTATGCAAGTCCTTTTCCACATTTCCTTTTTTGTAATTAGTCTTTTCTTCTTTCTTTTTTTTCCTTTGGTGCTTAATTTTTGCCCATAGTTGCCAGTTTAGAACTACCCTCCAGTGGTTGTTACATGTTAGCTATTAGCACTGTGGTCTAAATTGGTAATGGTTCATAAGGGTAAGGACTCCTAAGAGATTTTTGTTATTATTGTGAATTAAAAGAATAAGGAAGCTTCACAGTGAATAGATCATAAAGGAAGTGAGACATTTATGGATGCCTTGTTTAGTAAATTTTGTGTTTTGAATTCTTTGGATACAATTTGTTCTCATTTATCCATTACTGTTGTAGAATATTTCTGAATCCTATTCCTTTTAGGACATCTCTTTGACTCATTTATTTTAATGGTTTAAGGATGCCATTATCTGTTCATTCTTTAGTTATTTCTTTGATTATAGTAAAGACATAAGGCACAACACCATAAATTTTCAGATACAGAATGGCCAGAAAAACATCCTTAATGAGATATAGGGAGCCCTGGCTTTTACATGTCTTATCATTGATTGCTGGAGTTTATTCAACATTTATCAGGCCTGGATAGGCTGGTTTCTTCTTCTCTTACCTCATGCTGCACTATGCATGGCCTTGAGATTTCGGTTCAAGAGAACCATCCTCCCTAATGGTCTAGATAAGTATTTCTGTTTAAGGCACTGATTTCTCAGCTGGGGCTGACTGTCCCCCTAGGAGACATTTGGAAATGCCTAGAGACATTTGGAAATGCCTAGAGACATTTGGAAATGCCTAGAGACATTTTTGGTCATCACAGCTGGGGTGGGGAAGGAGGTGGGGATGCTATTGGCATCTAAGGAGTAGAGTCCAGGAAAGCTGTTAAATAAACATCCTACAATGCACAGGACAGCCCCCCACATCAAAGCATTATCCTGCCCCAAATGTTGATAGTGCTCAGGTTGGAAGCCCTGGATTAGGGTATGCATGTAGCTCTGCTACCTTGTCAAACTCATTAAGAGGCTCTCAGGGTTCTTTAATAATGAATTCTATTTGCTAGTTGGTTTACTACCTTTGGCAGAAGTTATTTTTTATGGATATAAGTATATTACTTAGATCTGAGTAGGTAGATGCTTGAAAGAGTTCTTTTCTTGGGAACTTTGAAGTTTAGTAATAAAACTAGGGAGTATCATTATTGAAAAAAAGGCTATTTTACTTAGTGTTATGAATTTGTGTTGATAATAAAGCATGTTTTAGAAATTAAAAGCTCCTGAAGCATGTGTTCCCTCCCTCTTCACTTTTAATTAAGGCTCTTATGAATCATTTAAAATCACTTTTATGATTTGAATAATTCACTCCCCTGATAGTGTTCTTCAGGGCCTTCCCTCAAGTTTGGCAGCACGTACAACCACAGCATAAATCCACATAAAACATGAGTAGATGTTTTAATATTGCTCTTTTATGTGGACTCATCCTTTTTACCTCATTGATGATTATAAAGCAAATCCTAAGCCACTACTATATTTAAGTAGAATGTTGAGAGAGAAAGATGAATTTTGTCTTATATTCTATCTAGGTCCTCAGAAAATTATTTAGGCCATTTGATCTCCTGATTTCTTGAAAATTTTGGAATTTAAATTGCAAGATAGAATTTTTTGGTGATAATTACAAAAAAGAACTCAAAATTTCCAGAGGTTGATAAATGTTAGCTATGGGAATCATCTAGAGACTAGAACATATTTATATTTACATTTGGTGATTAAGTAATGGAACTTTTTCAAGTGTTTATTTTTTCAGTATCACTATCACTAACAATACTCATTAAGTGCTTACTTTGTACTTATGGAAAGCACTGTACTAATTCTTGTTAGGAAATTTGATGGAGGTTTGGGAGTAAGTGGAAAGAGTTACATGGACACTATTCCAAAATTGGTAGACTTCTTTCTACAATAGTAATAGTAACTGTCATTCTTGTAAAATAAGCTTCATTTTCTATTTTATATGCCTGTTGAAATAATATGAATCATTGGCTAGTTATGGGTTAAACTGTGGTTACTTAGAAATTGTTTCGTATTTTTCAAATTCATGCTTTAGTGGCATTGGTCATCTTTCCTAAATTAATGAGGGGTATATTTCCATCTCAAAAGTCTAGCTTTTTCTCATGACAATAATACTTAGTAGTTTCTTCTTGTTTTAAAGATGCTGTACAGATTGATCTTACCATACTAAATAATGATGACACTGAATTCTAAGTCATTTCACAGGAAGGATTCATTTCTTCAAGTACTCAGAGATCTTAGAAGTTTCATTGAGTTATGCTCTTAACACACTCCACATTTCTGAATAGCTGGTTTTTGAAGAAAAATCACTTAATTGATAATGGTACAGTTGATCAATTACTCACATATATACAGTGGAATTTTTTTGTTTTTGTTGAACAATAGAGTACTGGCAGTGACGACATCTTTTATCTCCAGTGGTCATTTCTCTTTATATAATATAATGTCCAGCTTCTGTGGAAAATAAAATGAGAAACTTGATGATAGAGACAGTTAGGAGACCTATATGTGTGTAACTGGAAGGATTTTGCCTTTGTCAACCTTATTTGTTAGCCAATGTCCATTATAAGAATGACTTTTTTTTTAAGGGTATTTTACTTTAAAGATGTTCATCTTTCAGATACCATTTAGCTCTTATTTAGACTTGAAAGAGATATTAGAGAAAAAATAGAAAGATTAAAATACTCTCAATTTTTCTTTTTGGGTGAGAGAAGCAAAGGGAGAGTTGGGAACCTAGATTCTATTGTGCCCTGTCTTTCTATCCCCTCACTTGAATCACCCTGCCAACCCCCTGCATTTCAATTCCTGCGTTTTATTTGATCATTAGGGAGTCCAATAGGATGATGTTTCCATGGTAATGTTTTAATGATCCCACCTCTTTTCACCTTTCCTACTACTACCAGGAAGAGTGGGATACACTTGCTGCTAGTATTTGACTTTTACCATGGTGAAGTAATATTGTCCCCATACTTTGTGTACTTACCAAGTTCCACATCCTAGAGGATGGCTCCATGTAAGAGGATTTTGTCTGGGCCTATTTTAGTTTTTCTAGTTAGTAGAATTTTTATTCTATTTTCCTGAGTTTCATTTTTGCTCTTTTCCGTATATACTGTTAATATTTGTGTTTTCCTGATCACCCTGAACTTTATACTTCCAAATTTAGATTACTGACAACTTTCATTAACATAACTTTCAGTTAACTTCTAAGAAGTTTCTGAATGAAACTGGACCTAACAGAAATTGATTCTTTAAAAGTGGGTTCATGCTTCTATTTAATTTTCTTTTTAAATGGTAGTTTTAAGTTCAAATCAGTTTCAGTAAATTTATTTGGTAGATGTTAATGATAAATTATATTATTTTGTTAAAATATGAATAGAGTTTACACTACAGTCACTTCAGCAGTTTTGGATTTTTATCTATAAACTTATATTTGTCTAGGTTTACGTAATTTCTTTTTTATAAATATGTGCCACTTATTAAAATTGGCATTCTCCTTCAATGTTTATGAAATTTATATCTTTATTCAGAATTCTAGTTTAATATATATTAACACGTGATTATTCATGCATACTCTTCTTCTTTTCTGTTGTTAGTCTATTGGGTCTGAGGGTATTACTATTTTCTAAATATTTAAATTGGTTTGAGTGTAAGCTAGCTAATACCTGAAATATATCTTATTCAGCCTTTCACATTTGTCTTCTCAAATACTGGTACATACTGATTTCACATATTTAGGGTTTTAATCTTTTACAAGTTTGAGATAAAGCCAATAATTTTACATTATAACTAAGACTTCAGAATGAAAGGACTATAGTATTTTGCTTATGAAAATGATTACCTTATTTGAGATACTTAGATAATATTTTCTTTGTGAAGTACATTTTTTCTTTGGTAGTGACGTCAATTATGAGTGTCCCCAGTTTAGATCCTTAGTGTACTGTGGTTTAATAGTCTATCTCACAGGTTGTTGTGAGGTTTAACTCAAATATTTGAAAACGTTTTAACATATAAACATAAAGTGATTAAGTAAATGTATAACAGTACAGTTTTTACTGGACATAAGTCTGGTAGTCTATCTTACTGACTGATCTTTTGGGGGCTTTATTGAACAACTTTCCAAGCTCATGTTTGTTTCTGCAATCTAGTGTATAGCTTAATGTTGAGGTATTTAATATTTTTTTTACTTTTTGTTTTGAGGTAATTCAAAAGTAGTGTTGGTTCTTGTACCATTCATTGTTATGTTTGTCCTCATTAGTTGATTGTTGTGTGTTAAACAGACATCCCTGGAGCTTATTCTCCACACTCTGTGAATCCACTCATTAATCACCAGTCACCTTTGGAGATGGGAAAATTACTTACCTGTATTTCTTTTTCTCAGAAAGCGTGCTCTGGAATGGATTCACAAATGAGCTACCCTCCTTCCCTCAAAGAGTAAGGTTTCTGCTTTACAGGATTTTTTTCTTGGGTTATTTTTCCTCTCATCTTTTGAATTTGAAAAGAACTGAGGGAAGGCACCTGAAGAAACTACTGACATACTCACTAGGGGAGTTCCAAAGCTTGTGCTGCCCCTAGGGGCAGTGTCAATGGCTCTTAAAGCTAGAAAGCTCATACTTGGAGTTGAAACAGGGGCTCAAAGAATCCATTTTCCCAGTGTACCTTCTGAAAGGATAAGTTTCAGGTAAGTAATTTTCTCTTACTATGTGATATGCTTTATTCATACTTAATATAAAAGTTCACAAGTCCAGTTCTCCAGGCACATAGGCAACTATATTTGTTCAGTTTAGATGCATAAACTTAACTGAATGTTAGAAATATTGTAAAACAAAACTCATGAGGTACATGAAATCATAATATATTTTAAATGAACAATAAATACTTAAAATTGCATTTATGATCAGTGTATTGCACTAGGATTGTCTTTTTTTATTTCTTGTTAAATAAAATTTCGACAAACTTTTTTTTTTAATAATTAGAAACAAAAAAATCTTTTGAACTCAAATTCCAAGTAGTATTTAACTGAACTTGTATGTGTGTGTACTCATGTGCACACACATATATTCATACATATGTATGTATATACATTTAGGCTAGGATGATGGCAACTATTTACTTCAAATTAGATGCTTTCTTTAAGTATATTGACCAGAATGTAGTAATTTTGAAAAGTAATTTTGAAATGTTTGTATAATTAAAAACAATGATCGTAAGACAATTTGAGCTATCATAAGTAGGATACTTTTTTCAGTGTAGTAGCTTAGTAGTGTAAATTTAGCTTCTTAACTGATAAATCCTTTAACACTTATCAAATATTTCTACTCAGTTCTTCAGCTACTAAATGGGAGGTGGCTACTAAAGAGTAGCAAAAAGTAGATAGCAAAATATTAAACATTTGCTCATTGATTTTCTGTGTATATTTTCATTCTTATTAAATCACATGTTGATTTAGTATTTTAACTTACTTTAAACATTCTGTGTACTTCTTACTTCAGAAGTAGTTTTTAAGTGAAAGTTACATTGAAAATGGTCCATATGAACAAGACCGAGTTTTAAAATATAGTTACACTTCTGACTTATGATTAAGGCAGGTTTGACCAACTTCAGCGTTTGAAACAGCGGCTCTGAACTTGGAAATAAATAGAAAGGACTTTCGAATAGTAAATGTCACAAAGTACATGCATTTTTCTTTGCACCTGAGAGTAGCAGTCTTGAGATAAGACAATTATGTCCCAGTCACAGGGATTATTGACAACTAAAACTGACAGCACCAGAAGCAAGAAAAAGAGAATGTGTTAGTATAAACCTGAAGCAGCTCGGGTTCAAAGAATATTCATCTTGATTTCATCCAAGGATATTACTCTTATTACAGTGACAGTGAGTTAGAATTTTCTTGTCTAAGATTATTCTTTTAATTGTTTATTCATTTCACAGAAGATTTGGGGCAGCTTCATCAAAAGAACTTTGAAACAGAAGTAGAAATTTAGTACCAATGAATTGAATCACTAAGTTATTATGACAGACATTATATTTGGCTTTGAATCTTCTGGCAGCCAGCTGACGAATAGGAAAAATAGGGTGAATTATATAGTTCCTGTTGTTAGCTAGGAGGAAGTACATATATTCTTTAAAGAAAAACAAAGCTATATACTTAACTCTAAATTTTGTAAGAAATGTCTGATGAATTATTTAATATAGGGGTACTCAGTGATAGAATTGTCACTGTTTAAGAATTTTTTTAGTGCAAGGACTGTAATGAATCTGATAGTTATAGCAACATGCAGTAATCTCCAGTGTTTACTAGAAAAGGTTGTTATATTCAGAATGCAGGTAATTGTCTCAGAACCCTATTGCTTGATTATAGGATATCATGAATTTTAAGATGAAATATTTATTTAATAGTGGCGCTGGGCAGGGGGTGCAGGGAAATAAGAACTGCCACATTGAGTAGCTGTGCATGTTAATGTATGTGAAAAGTTAATATGTGAAAGTTAAGGAAATATGGTATATTGTAGAAAGGTGACCATCAGAGATGATTAGCATCAACAAGTTAATGAAATGTTAAGAACTGTGATGTGTAGTTTCTCTAAAAAAGGACATCAAAAGGGTGTTATAATTTTACATGTCTCGTTATTTATAAGGTGATTTTTTTAGTGAGATAAACAGAAAACTTAAAAATCATAATTATCCAGCCAAAGAAACCCGCCTCCTCAGATGGGAGGATAATAATTGGATATGTGAACTTTGCTGTAAAATTGAAGCACAAGATGCATAGTATGTGTGTGTATGATTAGTGTACTCTGATACCTTCAAAATTGCGTTTTGGTGAATCTTTAAAAATAAAGAATATAAAAGTAATGAGTTCTTGGAAATAAAGGCATTGCTGAAAAATAGGTTTAGATATATCTGAAATACAACATAATCAGTTGAATAATAATATGTAATTAATTATGAATATGTTTAACTTTTGGCTTTTCTTTGACTGTAGTAGGAAGCAAATTTTATTTCCTGAGCCTTTTGTTTTCTACCTTCTTTTTAAACTTCTTCCATTTTACCCTCTCTGTTCTTTGGAGAATAGCTAAACATTGAATGTCCTGTGCTTGTACCTTTGTTGAGATTTTATTGTCAGAGTAGGACTATTTGTTATATTTATACTTCTGTGTATCCTACTTAAAGGCACTTGTATTGATCCTTTTCCAAGTAGAAAATTTTGCAAAAATGAGATAAATTTTTAAAATCTAGGTCATAAAAATTATACAAGCCACATATATCTCTGACCTACTTTTTTTCTTTCTTTTCTGTAGTAGAGATTAAATCTTTGCATTTGTACAACAAAAGCTAAGCTTTCATTGATTTGTTAAATTGAGATAGTTTCCTTAAGCCAAATTTTCTTGAATCATATTCTTGGCGTTTACTTTCCATTATAGACCGATATAATATGTTTAACAATGCTTCTAACTTTTAAACTGTTTGTTTCCATAGTCTTTTGTATTGCTCGTGACTTTAAGGTTTTACAGTTTGAAATAGTTTTTAACATCATGAAACACTGGTGATATATCATTTCTTTATTACCTTCCCAAATATGCCTTTTATTTTTATGTACAAGGGCTCTTGGGAATGATTCTCTCAGAGGCTTAAGCTGTGCTTTGCCTTCCATGAGAACTGAAATTATTTGGTAAGCGCTTGCTTTCTTTTTAGCTTCTAATTTTTCCCTATTTTATTTTGTACATGATATTTGTTTCAAGGTCAAAGGTTCCGTTACAGTTACTATGATGAATCCCAGGGGGAGATTTATAGATCCATTGAACATCTAGATAAAATGGTAAGTCCTTCAGGTGTGGGGTTTTACTGCTCTAAGATTTTTTCTTTAATTTCAGATTAGTGATTCAAGACTTAATATGTTAAAATATACAATGGGCTAATAATTCTTTCCCTATCTTTAACTAAATGTGCAATATATATTTTGTAGTCATGTGATATTGATTATAAAAATAATCCCTGTTCTATTAGTAGAAATTTCCTTCATCTTAATTTTATTTGATTAATTACACCTTGAATAATTAGATACAGATTTTTAGATACTATTTGGGGAATGTCTTAGTTTTAGGGACAATGGGATACTAATTCCATTACTTACTGTTAAGCAGAAACAACCATAGCAAATTCTAAGTTTATTTTATTATTTAGTTATATTTTTTGGCCATTTGGGTTTTTCTTAAATGGAATTTTAATTTGTTTTAAATTAGAATTTTAAAGCATTATTGTATTCTTAACTAGTCCAGGAGTTGAATCTAGCAGATATATCACTAATTCTCTCTGACCTTCAATAGATCGTTTCAATTTTCTAGTCTTCAATTTGTCATCTCTAAGATGAGAGACTTGGAGAGGCTTGGTCTCTAAATTGTCTTTAAACTCCACCAGCCTTTAAGTCTGTAATCTGTTAAAGTTAAAGTCAACTTTACCAGTGTGTGAAAAGCTTTATGTATATGTTTTAGTATAAAAATATTTAGTCTAAAGTAGATAAAACATTTTACTAAGGAATCTGGATCTGAAACTATAAGTAGATTATATTGAGTAGTATTATTTTATTAAAAGTCAAATGGAATGAATGCAGTTACTTAGGAGATTTTATCATACAAAATAGTTACTTAGGAGATTTTATCATATTTAAATTTATTCTGTTACTTTAAATCCAATTATGGCCTAATGCTTTTACCTTTGGAATTTTGTTTGGATTTTAATTCACTGACTTTTGTTTTTTTTTTTTTGGCTTTATTATGTTGCCATTTCAGTCAGTTAATTCTCTTCTGGCTATTATTCTAATCTTATTTTTCTGAGGTTTAGTTCTTAGTTGCCTCAGAAAACTTTCTGGTTCTATATCATTTATTTTCTTCATATAGCAAATGGTTAATGAGTATCCACTGTGTGTCTGGTACTATGTGAAGTATTGAAGATACTAAGAAGAGAAAACATGATCTCCCACTTAATGGATCTTACAGTCTAATCATCGAACAGATTTAGAAAGAAGCTGTTACAATATAGAGATATAAGATATTTATGAGGCAGTGTGGAAACACTGGTCTCCTTACTATTTCTTGATAATGCCATATGTGTGCCTAGCTTAGGGCTTTTGCCCTCTTTGCACTGGACTGTCTCACTTACTTTATGGCTTTGCTCCGTTTTCACCTTCCCAATGAGGCCTACTGACCACCGTATTTTTTTTTTTTTGCTGTACGCGGGCCTCTCACTGTTGTGGCCTCTCCTGTTGCGGAGCACAGGCTCCGGATGCGCAGACTCAGCGGCCATGGCTCACGGGCCCAGCCGCTCCGTGGCATGTGGGATCTTCCCAGACCGGGGCACGAACCCGTGTCCCCTGAATTGTCAGGCGGACTCTCAACCACTACGCCACCAGGGAAGCCCTGACCACCGTATTTAATTTGACATCTTACACTCCACCCTTTCAGCATTCCCAGTCCACCTTACCGAGTTCCACTTTTTCTTCTAAGAAACCGAATATTTTACTTATTCATTACATAAGGATATTTGTTTTGTTCACTAATGTATCCAAGTGCTTAGAATAGCAATTGGAACATAAGTAGGTGCTCAACAAATACTCTTCAAATGAATGAATTGGTGACTATAATCTTCCTATATACATAATTGAGTTAAATGAATACCCTAAGTGTACTCTGAGAAAGAAATAAAAGGAAAGTAATTTATAATATATTAATATATATATTTAATAATGTAAATGCTCAGGCACCAACTGTACTAAAAGAGACAATGAAGTAGTTAGATGCTTACACATAGTATCTTTAATATAACAGCCACATACAAACAGTTGTTTATATTTGTCTTACGTTTACCAAGTTACGTTGGTGGGTGACTTGATTTTCCAAAATGGTGAACATTTCTTAGCAAAACTGTAAACTAAACAAAGTACAGTCTTCCCTCACTTTATATGATAGTTTGTTCCTGGGAAATCTATTGTATATTAAAATCATGCAAAACTTCTTTGTGTTTGTATGTAAAATGGCGTTAGAGTGTAGATAATTATAAGCAGGTTTTTCGCATACATGGACATGTGAAAGTGTTATAGGATGAGAACAGTTCTTTCTGTGTGGGACTGTCCTGTATTGCAGGACAGTCAGCATCCCTGGATTCCATCTACCAAATCCCCTGACAGTATCTTCTAGTTATTGGCACAACCCAGAAATGTGCCCACAATTTTCCATTATGCCCCTGTGGTGAACAGTTATTCTGTGACCTTACCCTGCTTTATTTTTCTTCTTAGTACTTATTACTGTGTGACTTATTATTTGTTGATTTGTTGATGAAAACTTGCCCTATTAGATTATAAGCTTCGTGAGATCAGATCAGGATCTTTGTCCATTTTGTATCAGCCTGTTTGTGGTACTCAGTATATGTATTTGTTAAATTAATGGATGAGTGTATGGGAGAGTAGTGAGAAATTAGGCTAGAGAATCTAGAACAGGCTGTTTAAAGGATATCTAATAGGAAAGTGATAAAATCAGATTGTATGTGAATAGATCGTATAGTTGCAGTGCAGCAAATGGGTTGGAGGGATGCCAGAGGAGAAATGAGTAGACTAGTTTGATAATCCAAGTGAGACATGGTAATTTAGACAGTGGATGGGTTGGTGATGGTGGAAGAGAGGGACAGAGTGGATGTATCCAGTATATTTTAGAGACAAATTGATGATAGAACTTGGAGATCAATTGAACTTGGAGGGGAAGGAAGCATCAAGGATAATTCCTTCTAAAAACTACAACAAACTAGTGAATATAACAAAAAAGAAGCAGACTCACAGATTTAGAGAACAAACTAGTGGTTACCAGTGGGGGGGGGAGGGGCAACATGGAGGTGAGGGAGTGGGAGGTACAAACTATTGAGTGTAAGATAGGCTACAAGGATGTATCATACAACATGGGGAGTAAAGCCAGTATTTTGTAATAATTGTAAATGGAATGTAACCTTTAACAATTTATAAAAATTAAAAAAGTAAAAAAGGATGTTTCCTAAATATCTGGCTTATGCTGCTGGTTAAGTCTTGGTTCTGTTCTCTTAAGTCGGAAGCACAAGAAGATCGACTAGATTTTTTACGAGGTAGGGTGATCATAAATTGTATTAGGATATGTTATATTTGCTATTGCTTTTAAGGCATCCAAGTGGAGATGTCAACCAAGTAGGCATTTGGATTTTCTTTTCACCATTTTTTTTTTTTTTTTTTTTTTTGCGGTACGCGGGCCTCTTACTGTTGTGGCCTCTCCCGTTGCAGAGCGCAGGCTCCGGACGCGCAGGCTCAGCGGCCATGGCTCACGGGCCCAGCTGCTCCGCGGCACGTGGGATCTTCCCAGACCGGGGCACGAACCCGTGTCCCCTGCATCGGCAGGCGGACTCTCAACCACTGCGCCACCAGGGAAGCCCTCACCAGTTATTTTTGAGTGCATTTACAGTTCTAGGCACTGGTGGAGATATGGCAGTAAACAAGCCAACTTGCTCTCACGGACATTTTATTCTAACGGGAGGAGATACATTTTTTTTTTTTAAAGTTAAGGATATTGTATATAAGTTAGTTTCTAATAGTGATGTGTGCTATGCAGAAAATATTAAAAGGGTTTTTAAACAGTATATAATTCTAGGCTGCTTTAGATTGAATGATTGGAGAAGGACTTCCTGAGAAGGAATATTAAATTGAGATATAAATAAGAAGGAGCAAACCAAGTGAAGACTAGAGGGAAGAGCATTCTAGACAGAACTGCCATTGCAAAAACTTTATGATGGGAAAGAGGCTAGTGTGTTAGAAGAATGGGAAAAAGGTCAGGGTTGTAGGAATATAGTAGATAGGGGTTAGAGTGACCCAGCTCTGGTAAGAGAGGTGGGCAGGGATCAGATAATGTAGGGCTTTATAGTCCAGGGTAAGAAATTTATGTGAATACAGTGGGAAGTGAAATGATGTAGTAATGAAATAATTATTTTAAAAGTCGGTCTGGCGGTTGTGTAGAGAATAGATTCTACAAGAGGGTCAGGGATAGTAACAGTGGGCATTGGCAGGAGTTTAGGGGAGAGAAGATAGTAATTTGGACTGGGGTGGTAGTAGTGGAGATAGAAAGAAGTTCATAAATTTGAGTTCTTGTATTCAACAGGGCTTTGCTAATGGATTGACTATATTGGTTTGGAGCTCAGAGAAGAGGTCTGGAGTAAGTTTGGGCATTCTCAACATGTAGATGGTAATCAAAGCCAGGGCAGAGATAAGGTTGTCTACTATAGTAATCCTCAACCCCATCTTTACAACTGAAATCACTTGTGGAACTTTTTCAAAATAGACCTGCCCATACCCACCCCTGGATATCCACTTTCAGTAATATGGAGAGAGTCCCAACAACTTTATTCCAGAATAGCTTCGTAGGTGAGTTTGAGCTAGCCTATTATGGCCCCTGATCTGTTGAAGTAGAAGAAAATTTCCTATTCATCTTCTTTCCCTTTGTTTTCTACTCAGCTCTTTAAATCATTTGTAAACTTTAATCAGGCAACATTTAATTTTGCAAATTTGTAAATCAGTGAATTATTGAGTATTTGCTTCATATTAATATGCTTGAATTTAGTATTTGATGTAACATTTGACTTGAACTTGATTTTTGTGGTCCGTTTATTGAAACATTTCTATTTATATATAGAATTTTTTTATAATATATAGAATTTTTAAAGGGGTCTAAAA